TTCACAAATAGACGTATCCAGGTGTTAGAATGGCCAAGTCAAAGTCCAGACCTGAATCCAATCGAGAATCTGTGGAAAGAGCTGAAGACTGCTGTTCACAAACGCTCTCCATCCAACCTCACTGAGCTCGAGCCGTTTTGCAAGGAAGAATGGGCAAGAATTCCAGTCTCTCGATGTGCAAAACTGATAGAGACATACCCCAAGCGACTTGCAGCTGTAATTGTAGCAAAAGGTGGCGCTACAAAGTATTAGCGCAAGGGGACCGAATAATATTGCACGCCCCACTTTTCAGTTTTTTATTTGTCAAAAAAGTTTAAATTATCCAATAAATTTCGTTCCACTTCACGAAATGTGGCGAAATTTTGAAAGGTTCAAGGGGGCCGAATACTTTCACAAGGCACTGTATATACACACACACACGCACAAATAACCGTATACATATACAAACATTTTTTTGAAACCAATGTGTCATAGTGGCCAACGCGCACCGGTAAGTTTGGCACTGCCTTCTCCCACCAGTCCCAGGCGCACCAAGCAAACTCACAGCAGCAGACCATCCGCACAGAAGAGAGAGGCCAACACTCACTACAGCCTTCCGACAGCTTCATGAGCCACAATCAACAATTATGCTTAATCTCTACACAGTACAATATACTTTCATAATGTCTCCTTGAGCAGAGAGCACACATTATTATATATATTTTATTTTTTATTTTATTTCTTCATTTATTAGATTAGCTGTCTCACTCCTTTACTTTAAGTAGAGCAGATTATCACCCGAGTGACTGCCTCACTCTACCTTTAGACAAAGGAAACTTTTTGTTTTGTTTCTGTTTTAACTGCAATTTAGAATGAAAGAAGCACTATCACCATACCGTTAAGGAACACTACCGTGATGCCGGCCAGTCTCCTCCACACCTCAAGTCCCACCATGGTACTTACCTACCACGCCAAAGGCCCAGCCAGAGAGACAGCACCTACACCCACCACTGCAAAATCAGCCCCTAAAAACACATCTATCCCAAATGTAAATGTAAATAAAGAATGACCAATTTCATTCTTTATTTTTGCTGCTACTGGACACCTGAATTTCTCCTACAGGGGATCAATAAAGTATGTATCTAGTGTTTCTGATCGCATTAAGTGGTCCAGTTAAAACAGGCATGATAATAAATCACTTTTTTGGACACAAAAAAAATGACTAAGGACATTCTGACGTTTCCAGCAACCTGGTAATATGGTCATGTGATAAAAATATGCATACTTTTAAGAAATAAATACAATTACTGACATCATGTGTTTGTATAATTTAAGGATCACCTTATTTCGCCTGCTCCTTCTCGAATTATGATACCCAAATGGAAATGCTTATTGTGTGGACATCTTGTGTCTGATTTTGTGTTATGATGCCTCATTTGAAAGGTAACACCTTCTAGTTTCTGAAAATTTATGTTACAGTTTGTTAGGAAGGACACAGTCTGCACTACAGCTTCTCAAACATGAGTCAAAGTTAGTTTTTTTTGTCTCGAAAAAAAAAAAAGGCAATTTCAAAAGGTTCTCCTGAAGACATACTTTATGGTATGATGTTCAAACTCACCAGAGCAGATGTTTGTGGTGTTGGAAACACCTGTATGAAATTTTAGACCTTTAGGTGGAACTATTTTGATGCTGGGGGCTTTTTTTTGACTAATGGGCACATTCGGCACAAGTGGTCCATTTTTGTGCCAACTGTGCAAAAGTGTTTTACATGCAAATTATCAATGTTTTAACACCAAAAATCCATTTATATAATTTTTTGGCTATTACTCTTGCTATAAATAGCATTTTTTCCAGATATTGAAATGTTTGCAGAAAAGCTATTATTTATATAGTTATAGCGCGTGTTCTCCGTGAAAAAGGCTCCGTCTTCCTCTTTACGCATTCAAATATGACGGGAACAGTGGGAGGAAGCTAGAAGTCCGACACATCGCCTGAAACCTGAGATTATTGGCTACAAGATGATTTGATTGACATCCAAATCGGCCAATGGTAGTCAAGACAATGCTGTCATGACGCACAGATATCTATGTGAATGGAGCGCCAAATCTAGGTGCGCTTGTTTTACTCAACTTACTCTACCTTCCAAACCATAGCACTGAAAAGTCCGGAAATGGGCTTGTTTTGAAGGGAAGACTGAGAGGAAGACGAACATATCCAGTGACGCTAGCTAAACAGTAAAATGTCCTCTTCATACAGTGCGCAAAGAACAGGTTTTGTTTTTGTTTGTGCAACTTTCAATACTCAAATATGTTGTTGCAAGTGGATATCTACTATAAGGATGACTTTGAAGAAAAAACAACTGGATATAATTATTCTCTAGACCCTAACGAACAAAACAAATGCACACATGTGTGGATTAGACGTGATTTGCCCCAGAATATTAGCATGACAAGGTAAGAAACGACAATATATATTTTAAACATATATACAGTTTGACTACTTAATCTTACTTTTGGTTATATTTAATGTTTATTTGAACATAATACGTGTATAGAGGTGGGAATAAGCTTTCAAAAGAGATATAGCTTGACTATATTGACACAAGTGAATTCTAATACTGATGCTGTTAAATGAAAAATAACTGAATCCTCCCTGTACAGGGAGGGTGATCCTTAAGAGGATAATTACAGATTGCTAGATCTAATTCTGGCAGGATGTAATATTCCTATTTCTGCTATAGGCGTTGTGTATGTCATAATAATATAATTTCTCTATTTCATTGAATCCATTCCTCTTGTCACATTCTAAAACATTTCTGTCTTTGCTAAATGTGACCATTGAGTGAAAATTTGATCATGATGACTTTGACGAACAAGGGATTTTTTATCCGGGGAGTGCATTTTGATTGGCTTATTACATTTTGATAATCCACGTAGTAGTCTAGCCTTACTCTCGCCAAACCCTTGTAGTTCCGCCATGCTCCACTAGAGGTGTTTTGCTGAACAAAAGGATCTGGGATCAAGCGCATTGAAAATAATCGGCCAATCAGGATTGCCGGTGTTTTGTCGGTTTTGCACCGCCTTCTCGTGCATACCATGTACCGAGGCTGATTTTTTCTTTTAGCTCCCTAAGACAGACGCTCTCTCAGTCGGCATTGGCACACGGCCACTGGACGTGACCAATTCGGCTTTCCTCACTCATATGAGCTCCATTCTCATATCCACTGTCATTGCTCTCTCAAGTTTCACTTTCTTCGTGTGTTTGATCGCGTTCTGTTTCAAATGGAAAAGGTTCAGCTCATTTTAGCCGCTACTACTAAAAACATCCGCTCAACCTTATGACAGAATGCACTGCGACGTAAACAACAATGGCGGCTTCCGATAAAATAAAGTTTATATAATATATTTAATTGGAAAACTATTTAAAAAAAAATAACATAACAATGTTACTAACAGTAAAATAAATCATATGGAGTAAATATGCCACGGTAGTCAGAGTTCTTAACATACAAAGCCATACATGGCATGGCTCCCTCCTCCCTCCAAGATATGTTACTGTCATACCAACCAAAACGAGCACAGCGCTCGCAAAACGCCAGACATCTGGTGGTTCCTAGTCTCAAAAAGCACCGTGGAAACAGCTTCCCATTCACTTTAAGGAGGCAGACACAGTCTCTCCATTCAAGGTCAGGCTTAAAACAGCCCTGTTTAATTTAGCATATGATTAGGTAGGTAAGACTCAGAGAAGACTTAGAAAATCTTAAATTGTCAGTCAAGCTGCAAATGGAGTCAGTTTGCTGGGAGAAGTATGGTAACTTAAGCACTATCCTCTCCTCCTTCCTTTATCGGTTTGCATTAGTAGGATTTTGACTGTAGTCTATAGTTTGTTGTCTGTGGTCTTCTATTCACCCCATTGTCCCATTGTCTATTTCATGGCGCGGCGATGGGACCCCTGAACTCGACCTCCCTCCATCTGCACCTGCTGACTGCCCTATCCACCCCGACTGGTGGGCTGCACCAGCTCCCCACCTGGGAGTTGCTTCAGTCCTGCACCGCACCTGTCCTTGTTTTAAAACCTGAGTCCTGCACCACCTGGCCTTGGTCCTCGTTCTGTAGCTTGAGTCCTAGATCTATAGCCCGTCCGTTCATGGGAGCAGAACCCTCTTTTCCTTGCCGATGCAGGAGCATCTGTTAGACTAGTAGAGGGTCAAACAAAAAGGACTGTTGTGATGATCCAGGACACTCAACATGCAATTACATTTATGGACCAGTGGGGCCGGGTCCCAGCTCAAAAGTGGCCAAAATGACGTGCGCTGACATGCTTGCAATACCACCCCGGGCCGATGGGGGTGGACCCAGAAGAAGAATTAGCCAATGTTAACATATAGCATTGGCAGACGTCTCAAAACGTCTTTACAGGATAGCTCTTGGCCCAAAGCTCCGTTCCACATGTGTGTCAATGCTGAGGGGGGTGAATTTGTTTGGTCCACTCTAGTTTACTTGCTGTGAATTTTTGAAGTCTCTCGTTCAAATGAATGGAGCTGCGCCGTCTGACGCATGCGCAGATGCGTTTTTTCACAATTTTCTTGTGGGCGGGACCACTCGCGGTCATTTTGGATAGCTTCAGTGGAGCACATTTTTTGGCCCATTAGTTAGAACGGCGGAAATAGGCGTGACTCTGTCCGTTAATATATGCAGTCTATGTTATGGATATTTATCAACACTTATGGACATTGGTCAACTCCCCCATATGGACCAAAACCTATGTATTCTCTATTCTTTGTGTTTTAACTGTTTGATTCTCTGATCTGTGTTGCCGATTTCAACGGTTTTGTTAAGTCCTCTGAGATAACTACTGCTGTGATTTAGGGCTATACAAGAATACATTGAATAGAATTGTTTTGAATTGACTAACTCTTACTGCCACACCTAGTGCATGCTGAGACTTGGCTACACAGTGTTTGAGAAAAGTCTGTTTCTCTCTGTCTGGGTCGTAATAAAATCCATTGTTTGTGTTCACAGTGAACATCGCCAACAGCCAGGAGTGGACCCTCAGCCGAGTTGTGCCTGAGATCAGACTGGTGAGAAGAAAAAAATTTTAAAGTTATTTTTTCATGAACGGCTACCTTAACGTGGTGGGGGAGGATGAGTACTCGGGTGATCCTGGGAGCTATGTTGTCTGGGGTTTTATGCCCCCTGGTCGGGCCTTCCATGGCAAACAGGTCTCAGGTGACGAGTCAGTCCAAAACCCGCAATGGATAGGTTGAGAGATACCGACAAGAGATAGTTGGCCTCACCTCCACACACACCTTGGGCTCTGGAACTCAACTCCTTGAGAGGGCTTGGACGCTCCACTTTTCTGGTGTTTCTCGCGGTGAGAGGCAGCAAGCGGGGGTGGCCATAATCATTGCCCCTCATCCTAGCTGCCATGTGATGGAGTTCTCCCGGTAAATGAGGTGAATGAGAGGGTCGCGTGGGGGACAAGTCTCTCACTGTTGTGACAGCCTACAGGCCTAACACCAGTGCAGAGTACCCGGCCATCTTGGAGCTTGGGGACGTTATTCTCCTGGGGGTCTTCGATGCCCATTTGGGCCACGGAACAATGGACCAACTCAAGCTTTCATGGGAGGTGCCCCAACCTATCCACGTGTGCTTTGTGGATTTGGAGAAGGTGTTCGACTGTGTTCCTTCGGGGTGTTCTTTGGGGAGTTCTCTGGGGTCCTCTGCTGAGTGCTGTCCAGTGATCCGGTTGCTGTATCAGATTGTTGTGGCAAAGAGGGAGCTGAGCCAAAAGGTAAAACTCTCAATTAACTTGTCAATCTCCGTCCTCTCCCTCACCTATGTTTCTTGAGCTTTGGCTAATGACAGAATGACACGGGAGGAGCTTGGAGTAGAGCCACTGCTTCTCCACGTCGAGAGGAACCAGTTGAGGTGGCTTGGGCATCTGTTCGGGATGCCTCCTGGACACCACCCTGGGGAGGTGTTTTGGGCCCGTCCCACTGGGAGGAGGCCCCGGGGAAAAGGGACTAGCTAGAGGGACTATGTCTCTCAGCTGGCCTGGAGCCAACAGGACAACATCATCGTCCGCAAACAGCAGAGATTAAATCCCGTGGTCTCCGAACCGTACCCCCTCTGGCCCCTGGCTTCTGTGGCAAAATGTTGGAAGTACCTTAAATTCAGGACTGTAAGCCACAGCTTTTATCCCTTACTTTGACTGCTGCGACTAATAGGTGCGGCTTAATTTTTTTTTTTTTTTTTCTGCTTGTACAAGTACAGCATTTAATTTATTTCAAAATATTAGAGACTGCAGCTTATAATCAGGTGTGTCTTTTTAGTCTGGAAAATAAGGTACTTAGTGTGAGGTGTGTACTATTCTAACACGAACAGTGTCTGTGTTGTGTCACAGGGCGTTCTGGGCAGTCTGAAGAGTGGGAAGTCTGCACTGGTTAGCAAGTACATCACAGGAAGTTACCAGCCAGTGGAAAGGCAAGAAGGTATGTGCACTCTTTATCATCCTCTTCACATGTGACACTCTGCTTTGGGCTTACAGGGAATTTACACAGTAGGCGGTAACAGCACATAAGCGTTGACTGCGCGCATATCAGCGTAACATTATTTGGCTGTATGTGCATTGGCCGTACGTGCAGGTCCGTGGCTTTTAATGCGCTCCCTGCCTGTGTAGCCTCTGGAGAAGTATAGAGGACAGTATGGACAGAAGACTGATGTAGAGCAACACAAATCACGTGCATGTGTTTGTCTTCATGGTCTCTGTGTGCTGGTATGGCCAGACGCAACCCTTTATGAAAGTTAATAAAAACAATGTCCAGAATCACTGTAAAACCTGCTGCTCCTCCTGCTAATGTTTAGATACATGGGTTGTGTGTGTAGATGCAATCTAGAGCCAAGGACCGCTAGAAAAATCATATTTCACATGTTTTGACTGGGAGACGCGTTGCTGCATAAACAAAATTAGAAATCCATCCTAAATTAGGCACAGCCTTGCATCAATATGTCTGTCATACGCGTGTATAACACTTGTAGTGTAAATCTCAACATTAGTTAACATAGAAAAATGTTACGCACGTACAACGCGTTCGTGCTGTAACTCCAGTGTAAATTAGCAGAACACAATATGCAAAGTCTGTGGCTCCTGCCCCTGCAAGAATTTCAAGTTGCTGTAAAGGTTCATCTTTTTACACTGGCGTAGTATTCAATGACCTTTCCCAATTAATTATTTGTATGCATCTATGGTGAAGAACTTTCAAATGATTAAAATATGCCTGTGCATGCGCTTGTGGGAGATTTTTGTTCTTTCTATTGAGGATACACTGTCAGAACGTGTTGAGCAGCACTTATTTTTGCTGACGGGATGTGACTGGCAGTCCTCTGTAAAGTCTAAAGGGAAGTGAGAACCATACATGGTCATGGTCTCCTCAAGACTTGAAAGAAAAAATGCAGCCCGTGGAAATTCAATTTGGTAGACTACCTGCTGCAGCCCATCCCATCCAGGCCGGCCTTCTTACCTTCGGCCTATCGCACAGCAAAGCCTTTTCCCTGCCAACCTATGCCAGCCAAGCCAGCAGTTTAAAAGCGGAAACTCTCATACGACAGCCCTTTTCAAGCCTTGCAACCACCACCTCCCCTCCTCCTTCTTTTTTTTTTTTGAGCGTGTGCTTGCCTGAATGCCACCACCAGTACCTAGGCACGGTGGCTGAGTGGATAGCACTCTCGCCTCTCAGCAAGAAGGTCCTGGGTTCGAATCTCGATCGGAACAGGGCCTTTCTGAGTGGAGTTTGCACGTTCTCCCCGTGTCTGCGTAGGTTTTCTCCGGGTGCTCCGGTTTCCCCTACCACTAAAAACATGCACAATAGGTATGAATGTAAATGAGAGAGTGAATGGATGGTGTTGATTGGGGGCTGATGGTCCAGTGTGTTCGGCGACTCGCTTCCGTCATCATCGTGTGTGGAATGATTGGAACAATATCTGAACTCTGAACATTGTAAAGCGCTTTGGGTGACCTTGGCCTGTAAAATGCGCTATAAAATAAACATTACTTACTTACTTACTTACTTACTTGGGGGATCTTAAGCGCACAATCAAGGAGCTTCGCAGACCAAGTGCCGCTACCGGGGCCTAGGGTGCCAAACAACCAATGAATAAAACATTCAAATGAATTTTGTGTCTTGTAGTCTCTCCAGATTGAAATTGGGCTGTCCAAGATATTGAGTTTTATTGTGTCATGTGTTCATCGGTGGGACAGCTATAAGCTAGTAATACCCTATCCAGCTCCGGTCTTGCTGCTCATTCACTATTTTGTATCACCCTGTTTTGAGGGAGGTTGAACGCGCTTTTTTTTACTATTACACATGTTACACATTTGTTTATTGACAGCTTTGAATTGTTTGACATTTTGCATGAGTGTGAGTGTAATATATGTAGGGTAATAATATTACAGTAAGCTATAAATTTAGTAGTGAAGAGTAGTGCGGCTAGTCTCCAAGTCAGAGGCTGGCCGTCCTATTCGAATGGGGGATCTGCTTTAATTTTTAGGGCACCAGCAGTTACTTCTGCACAGATCCAAACTAACTTTGCCTCGAGTCAGTCTTATAATCAAAAGGTAGTGAATGCGTATATCAGCCAGTGATATCCTGGATTTATAAACACGACGCTCAGATGATTGAGTTAAAGTTAACGTGAATTTATTGACTACAAAAATTAAAGATGGAAGTATAACGAAAAGGGATTTCTGGTCACATTAAACAGAAGCTGTATACATGTCATTCAAATCACACATTTAACAAAGAACAGTCTTACTTTGAGCCGTTCAAAGGTAGGTGGGTGATTAAAGATGAGGATGGAGATGGAGATGGGAGGATGAGAATGAAGAATAGGGCTGAGGCGATGTCCTCATCCACGTGGTCTCTTTGTCCGGGCAAGCGGGAGGTATGAAGCCGACGACTGCAGTCCAACTTTGGGTTCTTGCATATGCAACCCAGTCCGGAATGGGTTGCGTGCGTAGAGTCCAGAGTCAGAAAGGGGCCGGTGATGGGAAAGTTCATACAATCCGAGCCAGGAGGGAGGTTTGCGTTAGAGTGGAAGGCCTCGGTGCGGACGGAGCACAGTCGTTGCAGGAGGCACGTACTATGCGGCCGCAGAGTTGAAGGAAAGTTGCAATGGTGGTTTCGGGGAAGAACCAAGAGGAAGTTCTGTTGCATTGTGCGTGTTTATATTGACTTCAAGAAGTGGGCGCGTCTTTGACGTCATCCGTGTGCGACAACCCTCCCACAACAGGCAGTTTACAAGGGAAACACATAGGATTAATACAGACGAGCATAACACATTGTACAAACACACACCGCATTTCATCACTTGACATTGATACACACATGTAAGGTCTGTAACGGTTATCAACATAATATCACCGAGTAATGTCCTTTTCGAGTGTCCGCCTCGGGTGTGATGGTGTCCAGTATCCACTGGGGGGCGCCAGAACGCCGTGGGTGAATCCCGGCGTTTGTGGAATGTCCCGGAGGGGCGACAATGGTTGATTGGTATCAGACCTCTGTTGGCCAACAGGGCACGCAGATGGTTGTGCTGCTGTTTTATTGCTCCTCCGGGCCTCCCAATGACCCGTAGGTTGTTTGAAGTGTCAGGGCCTTAGGAGGGCATGTTTACGAAAGGGGGAATAGTCCTCCATTTGACCCCTTTTATGTCTTGGATGCGGCTCTGGGATGGACATTCCCAGATCGCATGTTTACTTTATCCGTGTACTGGTTAACGTCTTCCATGGGGCCGTGTTTGCTGAGTCGTGCCCTCTTTGTCACCTTACATATATAACACTACACGTTTTCAATTTGAAAAAAATAATAATAGGAGGGACATAAAGAATAGAAATTGCAATTAATCACAAGTTAACTATGACATTCATCTGATTAATTGCATCGGAAAAAATACATTGTTGGACAGCACTAAAACATTTATTTTGACTGGAAGCTTCATCACTCCATGGCAAAAACTGACTGTGCATTCATGCCGATTTCATCTTCCGCATCACCCTAACCTGCAAAGGTAACTGCTACTCAGTTGTTCTAACAGCACATCCTCAGAAGCACATCCTCAGAGGTACGTGCACAGGCTAAGAAGAACTATTGTCTTCTTTGCCTTCTAACAAGGTGTGAGCGTTTATGATAAATAATATATGTGTAATGAGGTGAGAAGCAGGAAGGACTCAAAATGCAGGCATGCCAAACAATAATGGTTTTATGATAATAAAATAAAAGCCCAAGTGAAAAGAAACTCAAAATCCAAAGGCACAAGCGACAAGGAACCAGGACGGAACAGACATTGACCAGCAACTTTGGGCTTTGAATTTGTTCAGTTCGGTCTCATATACTTATTTTTAGCTTTTATATATATCTCCTCTGATCTTCTTGCCTTTAACTGCTTATATACAGTGCTATTCGCCTACTGAGTCTTTTAAAAGTAGTCATCGCATCCATGCTTCAGTATGTGTAGTAGTAAGTAAGTAAGTAATCTTTATTTATATCCCGCCTTTTCACTGCAGATTTGAGTCTCAAAGCGGTTTACAATTGTTAATTTTTGGGCATTTGTCTCTCACTCCACACAGAGATGGGAGCGGGGTCGCCAGTACAGGAGGCGCATGCTAGAACTATTGGACATATTTTTAGTGGTAGGGGAAACCGGAGTACCCGGAGGAAACCTACGCAGACACGGGGAGAACATGCAAACTCCACTCAGAAAGGCCCTGGTCCAACCGGGATTCGAACCCAGGACCTTCTTGCTGAGAGGCGAGAGTGCTATCCACTCAGCCACCGTGCCGCCCGAAGTGCCGCTCTGTCTTCTTGCCACACAGCGAGGGGCGCATGCGCACGTGGGTGTAAACAAAGATCCTCCTATAGACACAGAGAGACATAGGTGAAACACATCAGGGCGGGGCAAACAATCAAGATAAGGGAAACAGGACAGAAACTGAAATCAAACCACAGAGAACAGATGTCAAAATAAAACCAAAGTACAAAATAATAATCCACACCATTTATAATAGGGGCCACACTACACAAGAACATACTGTGTAGCAAATGTATGTACCTTGTACCATCTACAATTTTTCTAAACTGATTATTTAAGTATTTCTTTCTTTCCTGCCAAAGATGAAAGACAACATGGTCCTTATTTAATTATGAATTACATCCATCATGAACCAAATGTGATATTCTGAATACTAAGGCTGTTTAGATGGAGAAGCTGCAAAGCAATTAGCAAATACGACCAGGCTCCTTATTTGAAGTGCAGAGCGTCTACACGACGACAGAAAACGATGTAGTTCTAGCTTCTAACTTTACAATGCGACCCCCATCAGTATAATCACTTCCTCAACAACATCCTCCTCAGGCCCCCGCAAAGACATGAAAGAATGCACCAACATCCTTCTGCATTTAACAGTAACAGTGAAAATGGAAACTGAAACTAGAGCTTTGAGTGGTTTCGTTCGGACGAATGAAGGGGTAAAATTGCTCCTCCGTGTGGCGGTCGGAGCTCACGTTGCAATAGTTGACCTTATCTGACATCATGATTAGTGCATAGGTTTGCCTTAGACTGCTTTATTGGGGGTCTGGGGAATCAGAACCAGTCAGTATCTGGTGTGACCACCATTTGCCTCATGCAGCGCAACACATCTTCTTCGCACTGAGTGTATCAGATTGTCAATTGTGGGTTGTGGAATGTTGGTCCACTCCTCTTCAATGGCTGTGCGAAGTTGCTGGTAATCAGTGGGAACTGGTGCACGCTATCGTATGCGCCGGTCAAGCACATCCCAAACATGCTCAATGGGTGACATGTCCAGTGAGTATGCTGGCCATGCAAGAATAATGTACAGATCCTTGCAACATGGGGCCATGCATTATCTTGCTGAAACATGAGGTGATGTTCATGGCTGTATGGCACAACAATGGGTATCTCTGTGCATTCACAAATCCATCAATAAAATGCACCTGTGTTCTTCGACCATAACAGATGCCTGCCCATACCATAGCCCCACCACCACCATGGGCCACTCGATCCACAACATTGACATCAGCAAAGCTCTCACCCACACGACGCCACACACGCTGTCTGCCATCTGCCCTGAACAATGCAAACCGAGATTCATCCGTGAAGAGATCACCTCTCCAACGTGCCAGACTCCATCAAATGTAAGCATTTGCCCACTCAAGTCTGTTACAGCGACGAGCTGGAGTCAGGTCAAGACCCCGATGAGGACAAGGAGCATGCAGTTGAGCTTCCCTGAGACTGTTCCTGACAGTTTGTGCAGAAATTATTTGGCTATGAAAACCAATTGTTTCAGCAGCTGTCTCAGTGGCTGGTCTCAGACGATCTTGGAGGTGAACCTGCTGGATGTGAAGGTCCTGGGCTGGCGTGGTCTGCGGTTGTGAGGCCGGTTGGATGTACAGCCATGTTCTCTGAAACGCCTTTGGAGACAGCTTATGGTTGAGAAATGAACATTCAATGCTCGAGCAACAGATCTGGTTGACATTCCTGCTGTCAGCATCCCAATTGCCTGCTCCCTCAATGCTTGTGGTATCTGTTGCATTTGGCTGTGAGACAGAACTGCACATTTCAGGGTGGCTTTTTATTGTGGACAGGTGAGGGAGGGAACCAAGATTGGCCAATAAATTGAGAGCTTTGCCTTTTGGCTCAGCTCCCTCTTCACCACGAAGGTCCGATACAGCGAACACATTACTGCGCACACTGCACTGATCTGCCCGTCAATCTCACGCTCCATCCTTCCCTCACACGTGAACAAGACCCCGAGATACTTGAACTTATCCACTTGAGGAAGGACAACTCCACCCACCTGGAGAGAGCAAGGCACCTTTTTCTGGTTGGCCTCAGATTTGGAGGTGCTGATTCTCATCGCAGCCGCTTCACACTCGGCTGCAAACCGTCCCACTGCATGTTGCAAGTCCTGGTTTGTTGGAGGCAACAGGACAACATCGTCTGCAAACAGCAGAGATTAAATCATATGGTCTCTGAACCGGACCCCCTCCAGCCCCTGGCTGCGCCTAGAAATTCTGTCCATAGAGACAGTGAACAGAACCGCTGACAAAGAGCAGCCTTGGCGGAGGCCAACATGCACCGGGAACAGGTCTGACTTACTTCCGGCGATGTGAACACAGCTCGTGCTCTGGTCATTTAGGGACTGAACGGCCCTCAGCAGAGGACCCCAAACCCCGTACTCCCAGAGAACCCCCCAAAGGACACCCTGGGGAACACAGTGGAACGCACATGTGGACAGGTTGGGTGAACTCCCATGAACCCTTGAGTATCCGATGGAGGGTATAGAGTTGGTCCAGTGTTCCGCGGCCGGGGCGAAAATCACACTGTTCCTCCTGAATCCGAGATTCGAACATCGGTTGAAGTCTCCTCTCCAGTACCTTGGAGTAGACCTTACCGGGGAGGCTGGGGAAGGTGATCCCACGATAATTGGAACAACCTCCGGCCCCCCTACTTGTAGAGAGGTACCACCACTCCGGTCTGCCACTCTATTGGCATCGCCCCCGATCGCCCCTAGATGTTGCAGAGACGTGTCAGCCAGAATTGATCTAGTCAGGGTGGATCTCCACGTATTCTCCACTAACAAGGATCAAACCAAAAATAATAGCCGGATAATTTGTCAATGTGGTGTCATCACCCAGAGCTATAATTGGGCCTTTAAAGTAAACCCGACCTGAACCCGAGCTGGATAACTTACTCTAATCCCGAACCCGGTATAATAGAGTGAGCGATGGGCGCTGCTGGGGAGAACAAACCACTCTGATGTCTGCGGCATACAAAGCAGAACCAAGTCTGTCTTTCCAGTACCGTGTCCTAACAAAAAAGAACATTAATGTCACAATTGAAGAAAAGGACTCAAATGCAGACAACATTTTATTCAAAAAAGACAGACAGGAATAACAGGCAGACAGGCTGACGTGATAGGCAGGCAGGCAGCAAAGGGCAAAACTGAAATCACAAAAATATCTTAAAGCACAATATGTGGCTTGAAAAATATAGCCAAAAGGCACTACTGACAATATTTAAGTAGACAAACAAACTGGCAAAGAGTGGCTGCAGAGCTACTCCTCTATTGTACTGCAGTGATGACCTGATGAGATCCAGGTGAGGAGAGTGGCAGAGGCAGGAGGACCGGGAAAGAGGAAAATGTGGAGTGGACTGAACCGGATCCTGACAATTAATTTCCTATTTGTTCTGATGCAGCTCACTTGTATTTTCAGAATGTAAAGCTGCACTAACTCACTTTGTGACACATTTTCGAATGTGAGCGCTGGCCTCGCTCTCACTGCTTCCCCTCCCCGCTCTCACAAAGCCATCCCCCCCCTCCCCCCTCAGCCTGTGCTCATGTGATAATTGTTTATGGAGCTCACATCTCACAATATGGATCGCACATTTGAACGTGGATGGCGTGACCATAGAATGATAGAACTGGGAAGCGCGGAGAGGATGAGACTTTCTTTTGGATGGCTGTTTCGCTGTGTAAGCAGTAACCGGTAACGAAGACACGCCAAGTTTCAGGTTGGCCTCCGCCGCTTGTTTACCTGAGCTGTCTGTGCTAACGAGAGACCTGTAGCTTTTCTCAAGAAAGTGGGGGCCAGTGGTCCGCTGTGATTGGTCACAATCTGGTCCCAAAACAGATTATCTTCCTTGTTGCACAAAAACTCGATCTAAAATAGAATGACATGCCAGCACAAACCTGCGCTACTTATTCTTCAAAAGGACGTATACCCAATGCATTGCATGGATATGGATTGCATTTTCCTAATGAATACAAAAATAAAGTGAGGTAATGCAGCTTTAAGACGAGAGGAAATAATCAAGTTAAATCATTCAAATTAAGCTCATAGGGCTCATGCCAAGATCTTTATCTGGAACTGCCACAAGAAGAAGATTCGACCTGGGAACCAAAAAGAAATATTTCCCAATGCTGTAAGCTTGATCAGCATGACACTGTGATTGTACTGTGGGAGGCCTAAGATGAATTGAATTGCATTGTGGGGCGACAGTGGCTCAGTTGGTCGTGGATTCATACCCACCATGACCCATGTCATCTGCTCCCACTGATGCCTGCTGTTGTTGTGTCCCTGGGCAAGACACTTAACCCCATTTTGCCTGAAGCCCCCACTGAAACACCATCTTCCTGTGGACCCGCAACCTGCAGGAGGATCAGCGAGAGACTGGTGCATTGTGAATTGGGTGCAGCTCTGATTGCCAAACCCCTGAGCCAGAAATGGATAAATAAAGGGATGAAATTGAAACAAAAATGAAATACAAAAAATGAATTGAATTGAAAACAGAAACCTTATTAAAAATAAAAAATATATATCAATAAGCTAATACCAGCAGGTAAGAGATGATCTCTTAGTATTTTTTGTTTGTTTTTACTTAAAATGAGTTCACATGGATATAGTGTCAGAAGACGCCATATTATGTTTACTGTAACTGTGCTGGATTTTGCAGGAGGGAGGTTCAAGAAGGAGGTGCTGGTGGATGGACAGAGTCAGCTTCTGTTGATCCGAGAGGAGCCAGGGCTGCCAGACGCACAGGTACACACACACACACACACACACACACACACACACACACACACACACACACACACACACACACACACACACACACACACACACACACACACACACACACACACACACACACACACACACACACACACACACACACACACACACACACACACACACACACACACACACACACACACACACACACACACACACACACACACACACACACACACACACACACACACTAAGATAAGTTTAAGAGATCCTTATTCGTCCTGCATACAACACAAAATAAATTAACAATGACTCTATGCTAAAATAAAATCTCTAGCTTAAGTATAACAAAGAGGCAAGTATAAAATACTGTACTTTCTAAGTAAAATAAATATAGTTTTATGTATACATCTGTACATGTTAGCAGCATGAGGGTATGGGACAAAGTGACCAAGTTAAGTGACAGTAGCACATGTTGTTCTACAGTGCCTTGCGAAAGTATTCGGCCCCCTTGAACCTTTCAACATTTCGCCACATTTCAGTCTTCAAACATAAAGATATAACATTTTAATTTTTTGTCATGAATCAACAACAAGTGGGACACAATCGTGAAGTGGAACGAAATTTATTGGATAATTTAAACATTTTTAACAAATAAAAAACTGAAAAGTGGGGCGTGCAATATTATTCGGCCTCTTTACTTTCAGTGCAGCAAACTCAGTCCAGAAGTTCAGTGAGGATCTTTGAATGATCCAATGTTGTCCTAAATGACTGATGATGATAAATAGAATGCACCTGTGTGTAATCAAGTCTCCGTATAAATGCACCTGCTCTTTGATAGTCTCACATCCAAACCCACCTCGGCCCCCTTTCCTCAAACATCACTCCCTCCGCCCGTGTCATTTTTGATTCTCACCTCACTTTCCGCTCCCACATCAATAAAACCACCCAAACCTGCTTCTTTCACCTCCGCACAATCTCAAAGATTAAAAACATCCTCACTCCTCCCGATCTCCATAAAGTTGTCAACGCCCTCATCTTCTCCCGCCTCGACTACTGCAACTCCCTCCTCTCCGGTCTCGACGCTAAATCCCTCTCCCGCCTCCAACTGGTCCAGAACGCAGCAGCCAGACTTCTCACTGGTTTTAACAGAAGGGAGCACATCACCCCTGTTTTAGCGTCTCTCCACTGGCTCCCTGTGCGTTTTAGAATTGATTTTAAGATTTTACTGATTACTTTTAAAGCTCGTTTAGGTCTGGCACCCAGCTATATTTCTGAACTTTTAACCCCCTACGAGCCCCCCCGCAGCCTTAGATCCTCGGGCAGGTCCCTGTTGACTGTTCCAAGGTCGAGGCTCCGGACGAAAGGTGACCGAGTCTTCTCTGTCCGGGCTCCTCGGCTTTGGAACGACCTGCCCGAGGAGATAAGGCTCGCACCATCAGTATCCTCTTTTAAATCTCTTCTTAAAACCCACTTTTATCAAACAGCTTTTAACTGTTAGTTTTAAACTTCCGATGCTGTATTTTATTCTCTGCTTTGTCTTTGTTGAGTCTCTTTTGTGTTTTGCTCTGTTTGCTTTGTGTTTCTGTATCTAATTATTTTGACCTTGCATTATGACTGTTTTTATTGTTTGTCATGCTGACTGTGCAGCGCTTTGTAAACACTGTTTTTAAAAGTGCTATATAAATAAAGATTATTATTATTATTATTACTGTTTAAAGCACAGAGAGAACCATGAAGACAAAGGAACACACCAGGCAGGTCCGAGATACTGTTGTGGAGAAGTTTAAAGCCGGATTTGGATACAAAAAGATTTCCCAAGCTTTAAACATCTCAAGGAGCACTGTGCAAGCAATTATATTGAATTATATTCTTACTTTATTTATTTTATTTATTTATATATTTATTTATTTATTTGAATGGGACAGTGAATGTCAATAAACAGACACATTAAAAACATGAATGTAAACATGCCAGATTATAGCTAATAATTAAGGCTAATTTCTATCTGTAGTCCCATAAGGTTAGGGTCACACGGGTCAAATAGAGCAACATAAAAAATAATTTGAGGAAAATAATAAACAAAAAACAGCTTGCATTCCCGCACAGGCCACACTTTAGTAGTTCACCAAAATCCACAATGTCAGAGTCCACATCATTGCACGCACCCAACAATTGCACACATCCCGTTATTGCACACATCAGATTATTGCAAAAATCAAATTATTGCACACATCAGATTATTGCACACATCAAATTATTTCACACATCCCATTATTAAACACACCCCGTTATTGCATTCATCCTTGCATTACTATAAACTAAATCTTACACATGACCTATTTACAAACAAAACCCTACCGCATGTTCCCCTAACATATCAATGGTCGCATGTTTGAAACAACCTTAACCACTCTTTTAGGAAACTTTTAAATTAAGTAAAACTAAGGGACTCTCTTACAGAAGTCGGCAAACTGTTCAGTTGTACACAGATGCATCTGTGCAATAAATTTAACCAACATCAGAGTGTGCAATATGAATCAACCGTGTCCACAGTCACATTACTTTACTCATCTATGCAATAATAACTTTAATGATATTAGTTCCTGTGAGAAAAAACTACTTTCGGACAAAATTTTCTGTAGTACAAGGGCTGTGTACAATGGAACTGTTTGCCGACATCTGTAAGAGAGGCCCTTAGTTTTACTTAATTCAAAAGTTTCCTAAAAGAGTGGTTAAGGTTGTTTCAAACATGCAACCATTGATATGTTGGGGGAACATGCGGTAGGGTTTTGTTAGTAAATAGGTCATGTGTAAGATTTAGTTTACTGTCCAAGGAACAGCCCAGGACACACTTCCTTCTTTCTGTCCCTCTCTGTGATGCTGCTGCTCCAGCGGATCACACAGTAGAAGATGGCTAATACCACCAGAGTCATACGTAGAAGGTCTTCAGGAGTGGCCCCTGCACTCCAAAAGACCTGAGCCTCCTCAGTAGGTAGAGCCACCTCTGGCCTTTCTTGAAGAGGGCGTCTGTGTTATAATTCCAGTCCAGTTTGTGATTCAAATGAACACCCAGGTACTCCACTCTCTCAATGTCCTTTCCCTGGATGTTCACTGGGGCTGGAACGGCAGAGTGACGTCTGTGGAAATCACAATACTTAAAAAGGCAAACAACAAAAAGTAATTCTACAGTCACAACCAATATTTTATAGTGAATCGAGAATGACGGCAAGAGGACATTCTACAAAAATGTGTAGCGCAAATAAATTATGTGATTCTAAAATGGGAATGATGGTAAGGGGACTTATAATCATGATTATGTATTGTTGAGAAAGAAAAATTATGACAAATGTAATGCAAATAATAATGAAATCCTGATCAGTCAAAAGATTGGTGATCGGTATTCTTAGGTAATGATGGTATATGGTTATCATACGAAATGAAGAAAACATAAATAAATAAATAAATAAATAAATTATATATATATGTCTGTGTATGTATATATGTATATATATATATATATATATATATGTGTGTGTGTATGTGTATGTGTATGCATGTGTATATATGAATATATAAACCCACATAAATAATAATGATTATTTTACCTTGGTAGTCGTGTGAAAAACTTGTGATATATTGTATAATCATGAATGCTTTTCTAATCAATGCTGACGTGTGTTTGGTTAACGTGGACAACTGTAATCGTAGAATTGATTGTGATCATGGATGAGCACATCCACAGAGCCTTGGGTGTGTCTATGTATGGAAATGATCATTCACAAATTGCTTGTAAGTAAACAGGCCCATGCACCTTCTGATGTGCACGTGCCTGGGTAACTCAGGAACTCGTGTTTATTGTATGTAAACTGTATGATGCCTGTGTTCACGGTTATTGTCTGCAGCTTAAAGTGATCACTTGGAACAGGGGGTGGGCACTAATAAGCTTTCGTGCTTCAGCCTACTCCTTTTGAGCCACTTTATAACAGTGTAACCTTGTAACAATGAAAAATATGTTTGTAAAATGCTCAAATAAATAACAATCAATCAATCAATCAATCCACCACCATCTCCTAGCCTCTTAATACCAACCGGCGCGCCGGCGTGCCGTTTTTATGTTTTTAAATGTTCTGCTGGCAATAGCAGATGTATTTTGAACACCAAACCCCAAAAGCTGTATATCATTTTAAAGCTTATTTTCTTATCTACATTTTTATACAAGTGTAAACTAGATCAGAAAATAAATCAATTCCGAAATAGTTTTTTACCTTTGGGCTTGTGCTGTACAAATAAATCAGCTCTCCTCCCAGCTTGCAATACATCATTCTCTCTGGAACAGTCCAAAGTAAAATTATATCCACTTGTATTTCCCAAAGTAAAATCCATTCTGCAGAAATAATCCAAAAATGTGCATTTATCTTTAGCGAAAAAAACGAGCACAGATGTTGCTTTTTCACTTTTAACGGACTTTTAGCTTTGTTTTTCACCCAAACATCTGGTATCTACGTGTTCCTTAGCTCCTTATCTTTCAAATGAGACTACTCCCGAAAAGCTAGACCAATTTTTGGGTCTGCAAGAGCTCCCGTGAGTACAGCTAGCGCTGCTGTTTGCGCATGGATCACTGATCTTTGTTGTCTTCCCTTCTTGTTTGCTTCTATTTCCGGGATTTTCGATTGACATGTCTGTGTAGCCAATGAGGAAAGCTTTCGAGCAAGGGGTGGGACAATGGTGTCCTGTCTTATGTTGTGCCTGTAGAATTGTGCGTAATGACAGCCAAAAGACGCTCTCGAAGCTGCAATGAATTTACACTCATAAAACTTTGACATTTAAAAAAAACAAAACACATAGATTAGTAAGTTATAAGTACCAATAATAAAAAATATTGTTTTTATGATGATTAAATATAAGCAAAGATATTTGGCACAATTTGGCACAATTGTGCCAAATTGTGCCAAATGTGCACTACTTGATGAAAAGGAGAAACTGCATAAAAACTATAAAACTTAGAAGTCTGAAACTTTAGACAG